CAGGGAGAGAGGGGTGATCTAGGGGCAAGAGGCCCAGTATGTTTGTTCAATACATCTCTTTCCCCCTTATCTTTAAATGAGCCAAGGAAGTACAAGGACTGGGAATTTTCCCGGCCTGTGTTCATGGGGGTGGTATCTGAAATGGCCAGATGGTCTTCTCTTTCTTGAATGAGCAAAACTGTCTTTTTTAGCCCAGCTAGCCTGTTCCCTCTTAAAAGTGTAAGATTGACAGTGTGATTTAGGGGTCTTGGGATTGCCAAGCACAACACAGGAAACTGGGAGCCAGTACCTTTATCCATGCAAAGAAGACGTTGATAGCAATCATGTTATTGTAGTGGGTTTGCCAGTAGGCAAGGAAATAGAAGTCTGGGTACACGTATGCATCAGATAGAAGATCGTCCATCAGCAAGGACACCTCTACTGTACGGTATATGTTGAAGCCAATGGCAAAAATAGAGAGCTAAATAAAAGCAAAGACTAATCAGACCACAGTCCAGATGTCCTCAGATCTGCTGTCATACCCATCGGCATGAACATTACCATAAAACTCCCCGCAGTTTGACAAGGATAATCCAGAACAACGAAGGGAAAAATTAAGCGAGAACAGAATGGTACAAGCACAGAAGGAGAGTTGAGAAGCTGGCAGGTTCAGGGAAACAACACACAGAAGGGGAAAGGGACAGCTCCATTGTATCATCGGCTGCTCTTGACTCCATAAAAACCCATCTCCAGATAGCCAACATGGATTGGGGCTTGGGTGACAGGGCTACAGTCTACAAATCCACAACAGCAAGTGGGGGGCACTAAGTTAGTGTTCTTCCTCAGTCTCCTGTAACAAGCTATCTCCTCAAAGTAGGGTTTGAATGATAGGTTGCTGTGAAGGACATATCAGAATGATTCTTACTTGGAGCTGTGGTCTGGAGTCGGGCCACAAATGCTAGTGAGCATTTCATGAACTAACTTTTTTGTCTGTTCTGTGATCTGTTGGGTGTATAACACCCTGTACACGCTCCTTGTGGAGTTTTTTTCTCTTTGTGTACTTGGGAAACTGGCACAAGGGACCGATGTGATCCCATGCGATGATTCACTCTTTGATTTCAAAACAAACAAATGTATGCCTGTAGGTTAAGGGCATCCAGATTTGCCCTCTGTGATAACAATTCATATTCAAAGTCTGTTAATGGGAAGACTCTCATTGACTTCAGTGGGCTCTGGTTTACAATGGACCCCATGTATTTGTATAATGGGTTGGATCATCAGTTCGTTATGATGTTGGATTTATTTTCAATTATTTTTATAATGGTGGCCCTGAGAAGCCAGGTTGTGCCAGACACTATACAAACATATAGTGACTGTTCTATCACCTGAAGTGCTGGCCACTGGATCAAACAAGACTATGACAATCCCAAGGCAACTGCAAGCAATGCACCTCAAATTACAATGGCTCTCTGTGCCGATCTGACGGCTTCCGGAGAAGATCCTAATCACGCAGGAAAACACCACCACCAGGCAGTACTCACCACCACCAGCAGCAGGTCCAGCCAGTTCCAGGCGTTTTTAAAATATTCCACTCCTATTCTTATCATCTGCACAAGTTCTTGGATGATGAAACCAAAAATGAAGAGGCAGAAGACGGCTTCACAGGAGGCAAGAAAGTAATCGGTAGATGAGACATATCTGAGGAGCTTTACGGAGTAGAACTGCGAGGATGAAACAGCACCGCCAGTGGCAGGGAACTCCACTACCAATCTGTGGAAGGATTTGTAGGGGAACACATTTGTGGCTGGCTTTGGCTGGAATCCTTGCCCTTTTTCTTTTTTCAACAGGTGCTAACGTTTCACTGAAGCAAAATGTTCATGTGAAAATGGAAAGCTTAACGACTCCTGTATCCATTAATTTCCCCTTGGCCAAGAAGAAACTGATGGGAAAGGAAGGCCATGGACAGAATAAGGAAACTATATAATAACCCAAATGGGTGTTTTTTCAAATTTTAAAATATTTTGCATTAGTCTTTAAGAAAACAGTGAGAGCAGATCAAACAGTCTGCCAAGTTCTGAGTTCAGGGTTTTGTGTTTCTCCTTGAGTAGCCAATAAGACTAATGTCTTGGGCTCTGACTGCAGAAAAGGTAATATAGTTAATTTCTGCCTAATAAGAGTAACTAGTTGTACAGCCAGACATATCCCACTTTGTAAGACTGGGGTGGGGGGGAGTATTTGTACCTGCTCCCTGAGGGTGTCATTGTAGTTTAAAGAACCAGCCATCTGGCAGCTATCATATGAGAACCATGCGCAGGATGTGAAAAGCCCTTTTCTGCATCTTTAAAGGAGCAGTGCCTCAGAAAATGTGCTTTCCAGTGGAGTTTATGTAAGTACTCACCTGGCTACACAGAAGAGGTTTATGTTGGCATTGTACACTGAGAAGTCAATGAACACGACCCTGGTCCCTCTGGTGAGCCAGTTGTTTTCCCTGAGAAACGCCAGCTTCTCTATGCTCTCCTCCTTTGACTTCGGTAAAGTGAACATAAATCCGCCAGCACTGTACATGCCCATGGACCCCCAGTGCCATGGTGCTAAGGAGGAGGCAACTGAGTACACCCATCTGGAGACAGGGAAACAGAGCAGTTTTGCTCATGAGGCACTGGGCTAAAAGGTATTCCTCTGCCAATGCACAATGTTCCTTTCCGGTTCCTGTGCCCCACGAAATCACTACTGCATTTTGGACTGTAATCCATAGCCTTAAATTATCCTTTTCTCACTAGGAAGGGTGCAATGCATATGCAGCCTTAGAAAGGTTGCACACAATTCATCTGGACAGTCAATGCACTCTGCAAAGACCACTATTACTTATGAGCCTGGATCTTGCACACTATAAATGAATTATAAGTTTAACCCTCTTTTATATCTATGTGGGACAGCTCCTTGTTTACATATAGTTTATTACTGTTGCAGTAATCTGGTTTATATGCTCTTTATCGATATCATGGTGTGATAATGTTAGGTTTGTGGTAACAACTGGAGATCTGAGAAGTCTCTGTTATCTGTCTGAATGACACTTAATATGAGACTTGTTCAGAGACAGTTGGTTCAAATTCAGGCCTTGTATATCTGTGTTTCTCCAGTGATATCAGTGAAGAAGTCAATTTATACCAGTAACAAATTTGGTCCATAATTCTTATTTTTAGCTTGGGGGAGAGGGAGAAGGGGTTCTTTCATCCCAAGCATGTGCCAAACCAAATCAGTGGGGTTACATCAAGGTAGCTGAGAGAAGAATTTGGCCTGCATGTGTGTAAGTGGATATTCTTATCCACTCCAAAAGAAGTTCTAGATCCTCAACCATTGAGGTCTTCTGTGTCATAAAGTAACTGAAAAATGCTTAATGCAACTTAGGAGAACTTTTACAATCTCTGCTCTCTCCTATGTCTGATGAAGGGTGTGTGTGCACGAAAGCTTGCAGATAAATACAATAATTTGTTTGCAAATATCTAGTTGGTCTAATAAAAGATATCACGGCTATGATTCCTTTTGCCTCTAGACCAATACAGCTACAACCTGGATACCTAATGTAACTTCTGATTTTTATTTATTTTTTTTATCAGTGGGATCTTGGCCCCCTACTTCCCCAATGTATTGAAAGTTGTGGCAGCTTGAAAATTCCTCTTTACTCATCTATATAAATCTATATTCATACTAAACAGGCAGAGAGACCACAGTGAAAAACTGCAATACTTACTCAGGCTTGTTCCTTAGACCAAAATCAGACTTGTCTTCAGCTGCAAAGCGGTATTTGTAATAACACTCTTTTAAAAAAGTAGTGAAAAGGGGATGGATGGAGCATGTATTGTTCCGGACTTTTAACTGGCGGACCCGGGCTACTCCTAAAAGCAAGTTCTCATAGTAAATGTGGCTGCCGTTCTTAGGGTTGGGTATTGTCTTGTTGTTGTACCATGTGTCCCAGTACAGACCATCCAGGAGGGGACCTTCTGCAAACTACACACACAGTGAGATTAGACATTTAAAAGAAGTTGAAATGATCACTTCTAGTGTTAGCCTTTTTCACATTCACATCTGTTCTCTAGTACTCTGAGAGGGTTGTAAAAACTAGATGTTCCAGCGTAGGGTGAAAGGAAAGCCCCATTACCTACAAATTGCATTTGCATCTTTGTGAGTTCAATGTTTATCCCCTCCATACTTCAACTCCTCCTGCCATTTGGGGTTTCACTGAACCTGTTATTTAGCATTGTTGAATTTAGGCAACATGTGGCTCTATAGTGATAACTTAGCTATTTGGGATGGAATCTTACAGGTCTGCTATGTACTTTTGGTTTTTTCTCCTGGTGATAAGACTTTAGCCATAAGCTTTGGACTAAAAATGATTCCTTTTGTTTTGAAGGTGGGAAACAATTACCTCGCCCTCCATCCCTTTAAGTGCAATGTAGCTGCAGATAAAAGAATTATGCAGATTTTGGGGGGAGCACATCAGAGCCAATAATTATACAGTTAACGTGGCTCAGCAGTAGAACTTGCTGTCTGGGCCATGCGAAGATGTTTGCATCAATGCTCACCTACTCACTGGTATAGCCCGCTGTTTTGCAGATCTGACTGTAGTGATCAAGAGGGAGGCCGGGGCACCCAAACCTCTCTAAGCCAGGTCCCACTGCTTTTAAATCTCCCCTAGGAGAAGAAGTTGTAGGACTGAGAACCTTGTCTTCCAGGCTTACCTACACAAAATGGCAGTTTGGCTGAGGCCCCCATCTAGTGGTTAGAGTATGCATGAGCATCCTGCATCCAGCTTTGCTGCAAAGAGGCTCAGAGGTGAACTACAATGGAAGAGAAAAAGTGCCAGCAGGAATCATATCAGCCCTATCCCAGGGAAGCTGCTTCTTGGCAAGTGAAAAATCAAGAAAAGTGGGCACTGTTCTCCTCTTACTACCTCAGTCCTGGACAAGGAGCACTAAAGAGCATTGATGCAATCGTTTCATGTACACCAAGATGAAAATATCCACTCCTCGCTCTGGTCAGCTTAAACTTGTACTTGGATCTCTTGCAAATGTAAAGATGTTATTCAGCTGCCTCTGTCTGAGATGCTGTCCTGGGAACTACACCAAGATGCCTCCATACTCTGCAGGTAAAGTATGCCACGTTGCTAATATCTGCAGAACTACACAATCGCGCCAGAGGCTTTGCCTGACTGGTGTATTCCCAACAGAACTGTTACAGTTGCAACCTTACCTTCCAGAAATCTGTTATGCTGCCTATGCTGTCAAAATTAGCCTCATCTGTCTCAGACACAGAAGTCTCCAGAAAAAGATTGGACATGACTTTGTTCAAGTAATACATGTCGGTGTTCACCATTCCAAATGTCACTAGAAGGAAGGAAAGACAGAAGGGCTTGACTGTAAATCAGAGAGGTGAAGATAACAGTAGCTTCTAGCATGTTGCTTTTCTTCATTATTCCAGAAAAGTTGTTCCGGCCAGTTTTGTAGGTGGCTGGAAGGTTTATTTATCAGAGCTTCAGCCTTACCGATTTGAAAGAGGGGCAGCCCACTCTGAGAGACTTAACTTCCCCTAGGTTATTGGAAAACATTTTACCCGGTTCTTTTGTGGACTTACATATGCACAGATCAGCAAGGAAGATGATGTAGATAAGTAGCTCCTGAAGGGTTGTTTTCAGTTCCAGCTCTTTGCTGTAGGTCAGCCGTGGTTTCACAAAACCTAATCATGTGAAATGATAAAAGCAAAGCGTAAAAGAAACTGTATGGAAAGAG